ACAGTCATGATCATTCATTCGACAGTCAAGGTCATTCATTCGATGAAAGAGAGCTTGAACTGAGAAAATATGAATTAGATTATTCTGCGTCTTCATACTCTAAGCCTGAGAGTGAACATGATAATAATGCCAATTTCGAGGAACTTCATGCTCTTAGTCATGGTCACTCAGTACTTGAAAGTGATGTTGAAGCAGCAGAACATGAATTGGACCATTCTGGAACTTCACATTCTAAGCCTGAAGCTGGTCACACCTCTGATAATTCCAATGTTGAGGATGTTGTTTGTGAACATGACAAAATAGAAGAAACATGTCAGTCTGGAGGCAGAAATTCACCTCTGAGAACTTGTGAACCAGAAACTCATGTAAAACAGAACCACAGTGGTGATAGTGAAGCAACAAGTTCAGATATGTCATCTAAAACTGGAACTTGGTTGCCCGGGAGTCCCACGGCTGAGCAAGAAGTTTGTTCAAGACACGAAGTAGGTTGTCGTTCCAAGGTTTGTCCTTTATTGCTTCTTATTTAGTACTTATACAGTGGGTAAAGTTGTGGGGAGGTTAACAGGTATTTGAGAAATGCTGTGTTGTTTCAGGGTGTTACTTGAACTTGGGTTCAACTTCAATATTTATGTTTTCCATCCCACTCTATAAGGGGAAAAAAAGCACTTTGTGACCCCATAATTGATCAATTTTGTAAATGTAGGCAAAGCTTGGGTCATCACAAACTAAACTTGCAAAGTCCAAATTGACAACGTCTCAGCTCAGTGTTGTTCAGGCCAAGAAAAGCATGTCAAGTGAAGCTTCTAAGTGCTTTACAAAGAGGCCTTCTAAGAGTGATACTAATGCTTCAGTAAGATCCAGAAAGGAAAAGCAATTATGTGATTCTGCAGCTTCAGCAATGTATTCTGCTCCCAAAGCATCAACCTGTGAGGTAATTTTCTCTTGTTGATTGGATTACTACGAAGGTACTCTATAAAACAACCGAAATGTTCAAAAAAGTGCCGACTGTCTGCTACGTTCAAAACTCTAAATGAGGTTTGTCTTAAATGCTCTTTTTATTTGTATAGGTTTCTCAGAGTTTTAAGACAAAACTACCTGAAAACAAAAGGTATTTGTTTTTTTGATGTTATTTTTAATTCAGAACTTATGCTTTTGACTGTTTAGTATAAGAGAGATGCTTTTCTTTCAGCCAAAGCAATGCAAAAGAATCAACAACAAAAAAGGCTGTCAGTTCTCGGCCTTCTACAGCAGACAAGCTTGCCCCTAGATTAAGTTCTCGGCCTTCTACAGCAGACAAGATTGCCCCTATAATAAGTTCTCGGCCTTCTACAGCAGACAAGGCTGCCCCTAGAACACACCACAATGCAAGCAGGTTTGTGAGCAAAAAATCAGCAAAAATCCATTCTTTTCAACATTCTAGCTATTCTGGTTTTATATCTGTTTCTTATTCTTGTCTAGGCCAATGCGATCTGTTAATTCATCCAAGCAATTTATCAAATCAAGTGCTTCTGCTTTCAGCTTCAAAAGTGATGAACGTGCTGAGAAGAGGAAAGAGGCAAGGAAGATACTGTTTTGTCTATTCTAACTTAATTTAAAATAGCGTGCTGGCATCGTTTATACTTGTAAATTTTTCATGATTGCAAATTTTATTTCAGTTTAATAACAAGTTGGAGGAGAAAATGCATGCTAAGGAGACTGAAATGCTGGAAGTTAGAGCTAAAAAGCAGGTAATATGCCTGGGCAGGTCATTTATGTACTTTCTGAAACACTTAGATAGATTCCTCAACATTCCTTTGATAGATTGCTCAACATCCCCAAAGAAAATGACTTTGCTGCAATCAATAAAAGTGATCTTTAACCAATAAGTTTGCATTACTTTTTTTTTTGGTCTTATTTAGAAGAAAGAATATTTATGTAGTGTATGCTGTTTGACCACCCTTATGTTTGTTTCTCATTTAATATGTTAAAATATTGCGTTTCAGTTGTCTAATATATCTTTCCTAGATGCTTTATTTGGTTAGTTTATGTTATTCCAGGAAAAGACTGAAGCAGACATTAAGCAGTTGCGCAGAAGCCTAAACTTTAAAGCAACACCAATGCCTTCATTTTATACTGAAGCTGGACGATGGTCGGATAAAAACAAGGTAAGTGGAGGAGTCAGCTGTACTTGGTTTTTCAGTTGCTTTTCTGAATATATTATGATATTTGTTGGCAGCAAATTGTATACTGAGAGATGCAAGTTGGTCACAAGTCTTATATTTGTAGTCATCCTAACTGACATGCCACAACAAGCATCTGTTTGCATGCTTTTTTTTTTTTGTTTTAAACTTGAATGAACATCCATGTAGAGAACCCAACCTTTGCTTTTCATGACTTGAAATTGTTGTTGAAGTGCTTTTATTGTTTACTTCAGACATCCACCCATGCACTCCTAGTACTCAACTTTCAAGGAGAAACAAATATCAAAATGCCCTTTTGCATATGAGTTAAGCTCCTTTTTGCTTAACGGTTCGTTTTGGCACATGCAGAAAAGAAAATCTCGCGACATTGAATCGCCTATTGATTTCTGCTTTCAGGATATATTGATAGGTTATGAGATTTGACTGCTTTTGAATGATATTTTTGCCACTCTTCATATTAACATTTTCTCGTGACTAGTATGCTTCTCATATGCTGTAGAAGACTTCAAGTTTATGGCAGCATAAGGATGATTTATGAGACTTTGTAACTGATTATCTACTTCAGGTTTTAGCTAATAATGGAAAATCAAGTAAAGTCCAAAATAGGCCTTCAAGCACTGCAATTGGAGCTACTGCAGCGTCACGATCATGTTCAAATCGGGGAAGCGGCCAAGCATGTTTTACTACTGAATCTGCAAAAGCAGTGAACTCACCACCACTATCTGGAGCTGCCCGTTATCATTCAGCAGTCCGTTCTGAGAGAAGTATACGTTTCTCAGATCTTGCAGCTAGTAATTGCCATCCTACTGCATCTGCAATAGGGCTTGCAGGGAAGGAAGACCAGGAAAAGGTCAAGCATAGAAGTTTACAGAAAGAAAGAGCATCAGAAGCTAACAAGCTGAATAAAGGCCAGAAAGTCGAGGGGAAACATAAGGTGGGAGTTGAGAGAAGGACGAAGGGTGTGATAAAAAAGGGCATTAAAGCTGTTGACCTATGCAACAGCTCAAGAATAAATAACCTAGCTGTTGGCGTTGCTTCCTAAATCGCTGAGGTTCTTATTTCCATCCATTTCTGTAGCCATCTGGAGACTTTATACCTCTCTGTTCAATGTTTCCATGCCTTCCAATTCTGAGTACTGCAGTTGGCAAAATGAACTTTTCTTGGACAGAACAGTCGAACATAATCTGCTGAAGCAGATGCCATGGTTGTGACTGCAACACCAACAAGATGAACTCTGAAGCGTAAAATTTCCGCTTGGATACAATGAAGTCTAATGTAAATGCTAGTTGGATACACAATAGAATGCTTATAGTTCCTGCCGTTGGAGAATTTTCTACAATTTTAGACTTTGATCGTGTTACAACCAGAAATCCATGAAAATTTCCCAGTTAATTTGGTTGGTGTGGTTGCCAACGCATTTCTACTGAAAAAATAGTAGTGATAATAAAGTACTTGTGATCTAGAGCATGTTTGAGGCAGACAGGTTATCTAGAGCTCTAAGTTGATAAATACAAAGGAAGCAATCCGTAGTTGTTGACGTTTAGACGGTTCTTTGTATTTTAATAATCTCATAGTTGAAAGATTGCTAAACAGAAAGCTTTACTGCATCATGATGTAAGCAACTCTGAGCATTCAATATCACTTTTGATCCAAATCCTGCAAATGATGCAAGCAGAATTTGTCTTTTACAATCATTCCTACTCTGAACTCAGGATTATTCATACTAAACTCATCATCTCATCTTTGTTTATATGTTTTTGACGGTGCAGATCAGCATTTTGCAGGCTAGTAGAGTTTCTTGCAGGATGTAGCTATCTTTGCTGCCGCTCACCGACTGTTTATTCATCATCTAATCTGCTACCTTGTGTCTATGTACTGCTCATCAAGATTCATTCAAGTACAAAAAAGCCCTTCACAAGTTCCACAACCTATCATCATAAGATGCCTCGTTTCTTGTAAACCATACTTAGAAAAGGAAAGCAATATACTCCTCTACATCCTCTCTTGTTGGACTCTTATTGGCAAACCCACATGTTCGGTTAAGCGATCATCATCCTCTTTAGATACTACTGTTTGTGATCAATCTCTTTGTTATTTTTCTTTTTCCAGTTTTTGTTACTAATTGCAAATATTTGGACACCGTAATTATCAATTACTGTCCTGCAAGTCGTTTAGAATCAATTGATAAGGAGAGCCTGTAAAAATCTGTCCTCCTTGCAACTTCATGTAGAAACATGATTTTCATATTGCACCTAAACTCTATTAAATTCTCTTTTCTTTTCCTTTCTTATCTATTTGAGAAATGCCCGTCTGATGAGGACAGTAAATTAGAAGATGCACAAAATTACGCCATTATCTGGCTAATTGTGTCCAAATCTAACTTTGTTATTATGTTGCCACAGAAGAGACTTACTACACAAACCAGACCATTGAACTGAAATATCAGCTACCCCTTTTGGATGAAATACTGCATGCTAAACCAAAATTTAGACCACATAAAGATAAAGGATCAGGAACCATGAAACTTCCTTGTACTTATAGCAAATAAGAAAAAGCTTTTCTTTAATCCAGATAGTGATTTTAATGGACACGTATAGCTTAAGATTTGCAATAATTTGTTTGCATCATTTTATAAGTACTTAGGTGATAATTAAATTGAATCAAAGCAGATACACATGGCATCTAATGCAAATAGAGATTCTTGGTGTGGTTAGAAAGTGTTTGTCATTGTACCATATTATAAGACAGGGGATAAATAAAAAGGGAAATAACAAAGAAGTATCCACGTTACCAAACTTGGACGACTTCAACACTTTGGACTGCAGGCCACCAGCATCTCTATCATGCGCCCTTGATGATCACCAAAACCTTTGCCTTTTCGAGCAAAGAAAACAGCAAATTCTTGGATACATGTCAACAGTGAAATTATCACTATGGTAATAACAAATTAACAATCCTAGCTGGTAGAATATTTTTCATAACATCTAAGACCTTAGTTAATTACATCAAATTTGATGAAAACTTAGAGAAAAGCAGGAAATAAAGTCAAAACAAGAAAAGGGATGGTCAGGGTCATGGTTCTTGATGATCCTTGCAAGGTTGTTGTTGAAGACTGATCACCATGAGGTGGTTTTCTATAGTAGTAAGGAAACCATGGCACGATAGGATCGGGAGGAGGCGGTGCTTGCCCCGTAACGTAGCCAGGTGGAGGGAAATACGGAATAACTCCTGTCGGTGGTGAGAAAGATCCTGGAGGAGAAAAAGATCCTCCTGCTGGTGGTGATGGTGGTGTTGGAGTCGCTGGTGGATTGTTTCCGGCACCCGTTGGCGGTGGATTACACGGATATGGGCACTCTTGGGCCACTGACCTTGCCGAAAAATGAAGAACTGTTGAGACGAAAAGTAGGGTTGACAGTAGTTTTTGGAGGGTTGAAGCCATGTTGTGGAAATGATTTGTTTGAAGAAAGGACTGGAAAATGGAAGAAAAGAAAAGGAGAGGAGTGAGGAGACTAGAAGGGGGATGAATTGAATTCTAAGAAAAGGAGTATACCAAAGGTGTTGAGTTGGCTTTGAAGGGTATCAAGTGTGGACCTAGGTTGGGAAAATCCTGAGGACTTTTTTTTTTTTTTTTTTTTTTTTTGATAATAATCCTGAGGACTTTGTCACTACTAAAAGGAAAAAAGCCAAAGTTGCTGGGACTAAGAAGAGGATGGAATTCCTGAGGTTCTTGAAGCTTTAGGTCCCTTTTGGATGTCTTTATCTAGCCAAGTGGCTCATTTGTCCACCATTTGCAATATATTAATAGCTCTAGGCTTGTGCTTCAATCCAAATTGAGCGGCAGAGTTGTTAGGGCTGTTAGTGTCACCCAGACCAGTGAATATTGAGATGAAAAACTGTGGGAGTTTCCTTAGATATGATTATTTTGGGGACCAGAAGGGAAGAGGTGACTAGAAAAAGGAGTCCTACTAAAAGATGCTAGAAGCACATAAGGGGCAGTTTGAAGATTGGCTGAGGGCATTGTAGGTGTAACGATAAGAGTAATGTTTATTACGTTGGTTGAGCATTTTGAATTCAATGATCGGGGTTGAATTTGACAAGTATTTCCTAAGAACATATGAAAGGATGTTCTTGTTTTACGCTTTTGTTAGAACATATTTGTACACTAATATTCCACATGTTCACCATGCTCTATGTAATCGCTGTATTAATGCATATAAAGTACTCTAAAATTGCCAAATGCAACTCCCTTTGGCCTCAAACCAAGCAAAGGAATGTGGACAATCAATTCTTGTAATGGTTGCACTTTTGTTCTATTATCAAAGGAAAAAAAATGTATCTAGTCATTTTTCAATCACAAATTTGATCAGAACCAATTTAAAGGGTTTTTTTTTTTCTTTTTCTAGTTAAGGTGCAACTAGGTGAATTTTCTAATTGTGTTTTACAGTTTCTATGTTGTGAAGGAAGATCAACAAGATCCAAGACACATGGCAAATCTCAAACATCGCCATGATTTTTGACCTCAGCCTGGAGATTTGCAAATCAACATGTTTACTCACACCTGATCATAATTTCTTCCTTTCTTGTAACCTTTTTCATTACAGACAATGAACTGATGAACCTAAAAAACTACAAGAAAAAAATGGAGTTTCCTCCCTACAAAGTTACAAGCATTAACCACATGGGTCGACAATTAAAGCTCTTCTTGATTCTTTAAGTTTATCTATAGATCTTTTGGTATACTGATTTCTGGTTATGAAAAATTTCCGGAAGTTAAAAAAAAAAAAAGAATTAATTTTCTATACTCATACACTTTTATTATTTGATGCATGACACATAATTCGAATTTAAATTTGAAATCCAGTCGTGCATCCAACTGTCATAGTGTGCACACCATCAGTGCATATAAGATTTACTCAAAAAAAAGAAGAAACACAGGAGTTTGACAAGATTGCTGGTGGAGCGTGCATTTGTTGACTCTTAAGAGGTGTGATTCAATTCAATGATTAAATTTGATTCTACCATACGCAAAGAAAGATTAGTCCCACAGCTGGATGGTGAGATGCCTGATGATTAAAACATGTGGGCCAAAATGATATTAAAAAAAACAAACAAATTGTTAAGCATAAAGATTTCTTGAGAAGATCAGTTGGTTAAGTACTAATGACCAACCAATTAACTTAAAACACATATAATGAATTTTTTTTTTTAAAAAGAAGGATTAGTCTGTGATGCTAATGCGTTTTCTCTGATTAATTGGATGAGGAGAAGGTAGATTTGATGATTGCCTGTTGCCTACGTTTCATTATTGTTGTCAAAAAGACGATTGATTCTCTAATCCAATTTGTCTATTAGCTAAAACAGCTCCAAAGCTTATTATATATGCATTGATTCTTATATCCTTCTTGTCCAATTGTGATGTGGATAACCTAATGCTAATAGTTAACCAATTTTTTTTTTTAAAAAAAATAATTATTTAACCCTTAATCAAGATTTCCTTCGAAAAAAAAAACCCTTAATCAAGATTTAAAGCTTGACCATGGAAGTTGAGATTGTCTGTGCAATAATAAACTCCTTTCCTTACCAACACATGAAAAAAGGTAGAAAAAGCAGCCAGAAAGTAGTATGAAACTTCCCTTCTCTTCTTTTTCTCTTTTCTCCTTGGAGAGAAAGGGCAAAATTTTGAAAGTTGTGTAGGGCTGAACGAAAAAGCAATGGACTTTTTCAAAGTCAGAGAATTTGAACAACTTTTATATTTGATCAGATCAACTAGAAAGTGAAAATAAGTAATCTTGATTACCTAACATAAAGTTTACTCTTCCTTGGAAGTTCCACTTCCAAGTTTTTGTTTCCCTTTGCCTTAACATCAATCTGAAAGTAAGGGTCCTTGAGCAGAAAACCTCTAAAAAGGTAAGGGTTATGCAGCTGTTAAAGTTACTTTTCTGAGACATCGAGCCTTGGTCCTTGCCAGCATTGGCGAATAACCATGGCCTCCGAAAGTAATATCTGATGTATTTTTTATTTTTTAAAGTAATGTGATGTATTCAGGCTTCTTTTGGATTAAGGAATTTGATAAAAAATCTGAAATCCTCCCAAATCGTTTTCGTTGTTTAAATTATTTGAAAGATATTTGAATTTATAATTCATCAATTATTAAAATACATTTTAAAAACTATAATAATTTATGATTTACGAATTCAAATACCTCCTAAATAATCTAAACAATTAAAGGAATTTGAGAGGATTTTAAATCCTTCGTCAAATCCCTCAATTAGAGGAATTTGAGAGGAATTGAGAGAAATCTCGATTAGAAGCTGGTTAATCAGGCAAATTGCAAAGCTACAGAGTAGTAAAAGATGAATACATATAAGAAGTGATTAACTAATACCATGCAAAAAGCAATAAATACAAAATCCCTAGTTTAATCCCATTTTGTCTTATTTTCTAATGAAATTTGTAAGGCTTAATCTTTTCTCAAACTCCCATCCGATTACTCTAATTGCTTGTTCGCTCTAATGAAAAGACACAGAAAATGTGGCCACATAATTAGCTTCTTCCTCTCAATGTTGGGACTTGGAAGGGCAACTTGGTAGAGGTTTTAAAGAAACTTTCCTTCCCGATCCCTGCATTGAGATCATTTTTCAACACCCCCCCCCCCCCCAAACCCCCCAACCAAAAACCCCCCTTCTTTTCTTTCTCAAACCTCGAATTCCTAAGATCCTAAGATCAATGCGGAACTCAAAATGAAGCAGCAAGGCCCTGTTTGGATTACAATTTTCTGTCAAAAAATTACATTATTTTTCGTAATCACATTTTCCTAAAATTTTTGTTCCTTTACTCAATCTTGTAACTATATGCCTTTAATTGGGCTGTGATTTAAATGTTGACGCTGAAAAACTTGTGTGAATTTACCATTTCAATTGGGCATCTCCAATTTCCTTTGTGCCAACGTATCTTCTATGTTGGTTAGCACATAAGGACTCAAATATTTGTCTAGTGCGCAAACCATTTCTTCATTAATGCAAGGAGGGGGGGGGGGGGAATGGCAAATTGAAAGCTTCTTCTGTTAATATGCACTTGAGGCTGATAAGTAAGTAATTAGATCAATAAAACTTCACCACGATGGAGGATGAAATGAAGTTACTTGAGTAGATAATCAAGTTGGGCTTGAGTGCTTAAGTATAGCTTAATCAAATTTTGTTTATAATTCAGTGTGGGGACGACATGAAAGTTTGGCTTGGGCTGGACAAAATTGTATAAATATACATTTTAGGAGGGCAACTTCAGACTTTTCATTAGATTTGGGAGAATGAAATATAATCTTTGGAGATACAACTGAAAATTTTTAATTTGTTGAAGAATTAAAAAAAAAAGGAATAGTTTCCAAAATTTTGAGGGTCAGCCCCCTCTATTTCCACAAAGGATTTTAATTTCTTTAAATATTTATGGTTTAATTCCAATAAAGTCTCTTAAAAATGCCTCATTTTCACATTGCCCCTCTAAATGTTTAATTGAACAAATCCAACCCGTTATGCTATTACAATTTTGTCAATCATGTATAATTGTGTTGGCCAACCCAATTTGGGGCTGAATTTGTTATGTACAGCGCATATGGTTTCGTGAACTAACTAAATTACCCTTCACATATTTTATAAAATTTCATAAGAAAGTTTTGAACAAACTTTTGAGTTAATAAAATAAGTTAAAATAAAATTGGATAATTACACTTAATTTATGTAAAAACGTCTGAACTAATAAAATAAAAAAAAACACAATATACATTTTGTTTTTGTTTTTAAATCTTTTAATAAGGGAAAAGTGGAATTTGAGAAGTGGAAAGAGAGAAGAGGAAAAGTACAATATACTTAACAATCACACTTTTTCAATGCATTTTGTAGTTGTAAAATAGCCATAAACTTAAACTACGATAATAAACCAAAAACTATAAAAAAAATTGGAATTTTTAATAATATGGTAACAATTAGATTGTTTTAGACAAATTTTTATCGAGAGTAAGTAATAAAAAATTTTGGTAAGTAAGAGCTGGTCGATAAATTCGATTGTTTTATAAAATCATGTGTGTTGCATGTGACCCATTTAACTAGAAATTGAGATTTTCCACCCAATTATAACTAATTGAAAATTTGTAATAGCAGATAGAGTGATTTGGTTCAATTATATATACAAGGGAGCAATGTGAGGAAAATATATTTTTTGTGAGGTTTATAAGCTTTTTTATTTTACCATATGGTGCACATGTGGCCTATCTGATCTCTAAAGGGTTCCTAAACTGTTCACGCTTTCGAGTTAAATCAACGTTAGATCGCTGTGCTGTAGAACGCTTTTATAATAAGAAAAAGAAAAGTATTTAAAAAAAATGAAACTGAAAATGAAAAAAGAGGGAAAAGAAAATACAGATCCCTCGAGGGTTTATTCAATTGTAGGGTTTAAGCTCTCTTGTGCTTTTCCTCATTCTTATCTTTACTCTACCTTCAAATTTCTGTTTCTCTGATGCTTAAATCAAAGAGTTTGGATGCTGTAATTTCTCGGCGGCTGCCCATTTGCAGTCAATTTCTTGTTTCAGGTAAGAATTCGA